CCTTCCACTTGAGCTTTAGATCAACTGAGGTCGATCTGCTTATATTACTGCTCTCTCTATTCAAACAATGATGGCCAGACTGAATGAAGATCTGACGTGATGGAAACAAAACACAGATTTCTTTAAGGCCACAAAGACAGAGTGCAGAGCTCGAAGTACGGCTGCCTTCAAAGACAGGGAAGATACCATCGTCAACAACAGTTTAGACCCTGACGTCAACGCATATGACATCATGAAGCATAATGAAGACGCTGGTAAGTGTACCTGCAAGTTTCTGTGTGCGTTTCTGTGGTGAAATGATTCAGTCTGAGTTGTCTACAGAGTGTGAGCTGCAGCTGAGTGATCCTCTGCATTCTGAGCAGAAGTGAGAGTAAGAAGAAGACGATATCCTATATATTAATCCTGCAAGGGGAAATTCAATTTTACACTCTGTTGGACGTGCACTAATGGAGACATGTCCGAGTGAGGGGGTTGTCCACAGCCTGCGCTACTGGTCTAGTGGGGGAGGGGGGGTGCATGGCCTGGCTCAAGGGCATCTAAGCAGTGTTCAGGAAGTGAACTGGAACCTCTCCAGCTACCAGACCATTTTCCAGATTTGGTCTGCCCGGGGACTTAAACCGGCGAACCTCCGATTCCCAACCCAAGCCTCTACCGACTGAGCTACTGCCGCCCACAGAGGGATCATATTTAAAGCTACTATCAGGAAAACATCAGGATAAGTCCACAACTCTGGATGACTAAAACAGACTGAGAACAGTGTAAAAAAAGAGTAGAAAGTTCCATATTAAATCAATTTTAAAAAGACATAATAATCATCATAAAAATGTGAATCAAGTGGGATAAAAACTTGGTTATGAAGTGAAACCAGACATTTTTAAAAGAGTACATATACATCAAGTACATCTAATATATAAAAAGAGATTATTGCTTCATTTAATCGATTTCCTTCTCTGCATGTCACTCAGTGTATATGTTAAATTTATTCACAGGTTCCACCAGCATCAGTGAGTGTGATCATTTTTATGATTAACACATTTAACATTTATACTGTGTCCCAGTGTTCAGAAAGCAGGAGATGATTGAGGCCTTCACGGAGACGGTCGTTAACAGCTTCCATTCAAAGTGGTGGAGGATGACGACGCTCTGCACCCTACACACATTTTCCCACAAGACAAATGTATGAATGAATAAAACATGTGAAAAGTTAACGGTTGTTTTGGACAGCAGAGCACTCCTCTCATTTTTAGACTTTGATGGTCATGGAGGTCTCTTAATATGAATACATAACTTGCTGTCAACTGTATATTTCATGATAATGAGCCTGGAACTCTGTATTCCCGTGATAAGTAATGTGCGGTTGTGTTCTTGAGATCTCGACTTTTGTATGTCAGTATGTTGAGAATACAACGCTGGTCTTCCCGTGATAACGAGATCTTGAGAAAACGACAGAAATGATCTATGGAAAATGGAGAGAATTAAAATGTATGGGTGCATGTCCTCTTAAGGCTTCTGTAACAAACTGCAATCACAGCTACCAAAAAATGCTTTGTTCAGCTGCAGGCTGACAATCTGAGGTATCACTCAGATGCACATGTTTTATTTTTAAATAATATACAGATATTTAAATCTACAGCAGTTTTTAAAGAAATGTTTTCCCTACAGAACGCCTGAGATAAATCCAATAAAGTGTAAATGTGTAAACAGTTAATGCAATGGACTGAATTTCATTGGCTCTGAATTTGCATTTAAAAAGTTTAACTTGTCGTGTTGCCTTCACAGTCACTCACAGTGTGATGATCACATGGCAGTGCACATTTTGGTCGAGCTGGTCTCTGCATTTGCTTTCTGCCGGATGTTCTCTGAAAGATTAAAAACATCACAGAGACATCACACACACTGCAGACCGTAGAACACAACAACCACCAGCCAGCAGACGGTATCATTTAGGAAATGGACGAGCACATGATGACGGAGTAGCTCTGAATCAAATGTTTAAAACACATTCATGAAGGAAATACATGAAACTGTTCAACAAATAGAGCAATAAGATATTTCATCAAGTTATGCATTCCTCTGTCGCCCACTGACGTGGTGTTTCAATAATACAGCAATCACTTCAGGCACTTTTGTGCAGTGCACAATAAATAGAAATATGGATAATATCTATAAAGCATCTTGTATATGCTCAATGTAACCCTTCATACAACACAACTTCTTATTCAATAAATATCTGCATCATAACTTTACTTTTTTCCACTGGAATGATTTCTCACCGGCCTGCAGAAAGAGATAACAGTGATCGTCTGGTATTATTGGAATATACAATATACGCAAACCAGGTGGCTGCTTAATGGAAATAAAACATGTCTGCATTCAAACTGTAGATTGTTCTGTAAAGCACACAGCTCAAAAAAATCCAGTATATGTTTATATACAAAAACAAGTAAAAAAAAAAAGTAACCCAATATGTGTACATATTTGTGCATGTCTCTGTTTACATACAAAAGACATACTCTCATCCAAGCCTCACCAGCCTCACTTCAATAAATACCCCTTTTACCCACCACCCTGTCTTCCGGTCTTGCTTTGGGGTCCACTTAAAACTCTTTAAAGATCACAACAGGCCCAAGGCTTTTCTCAAAAATATAAAGGAACTGCAGATTTAGTTAATTTGGCACATTTCCCCCCTCTACATTCTTACATACCTGCATTATTTCATAACTTTAGTCATAATCCCAGTTAGAGTCTGTACAAGTCAGAGGATAAATGGCTGTAACGGTACAAACCTGCACTCTAATACATACTAAATATACTACTGTATCTTCATACAGCCCAGTCTTCCTCTATGGATCAGAGGGAATTCATAATCCGAATCTAGGCAAAGAAAAAAAAATATCCAAAGAGAACGTGAAAGCTTTCCTCCCTGCGTCACATTGCAGGAGCTCTGTATAGCTCTGCTGCACAATAACATATCAAACCCACAGTGTAGTTTGAAGTTCTCACCTGCCAAGTCCGTCCGTGAGATTTCCACCAGCCCCTCGTAGAGGCCTTTGATTGGGTTCTTTCCCGCCATCACGACTCCATGAAGCCAGATCAACAGCATCCTGTGACCGTGCTCTTTGTAGCTTTTCATACCTGGAGGTTCAACTCAGGACTTAAAAAACACATCGTTGTCTATCTATAGTGAAATTAAAGGTGGCATATTCTCCTCGTCTTCAACCAGTTTAAATAAGTCTCAGAGCTCCCTGAAACATGTGTGTGAAGTTTCTTGTTCTAAATCCACTCTGATCCTGTATTTGATCATGTCTATAAACCCCTCTATTTCAGCCCTGCTCAGAACAGGCTGTTTCTGTGTCTGTAGCTTTAAATATGCAAATGAGCTGAGCCTGACCACGCCCCCTCTCTGGAAGGCTCTGGCTTTCTCGCTCCATGTCCTATTGTTTGAGCACACATTTTCTGAAAAGTGGATCAGGCAATAGACGGAGAGGATGGACTTTTCTCATGACTGGGGGGTTTGTAGACGGACTAGAGTAACATGTGCGTGTTAGAAAAACATGGTGAAGTGTATTTTGCATATTATGTGACCTTTAAGTGAAACGTAAGCGAATGCATACATTCCACTTTATTTACAGATGAGAGAACGAACACAAATAATAAGTTCATGGAGCCAAGGAGGTCAAGAGCTGTGTGTGAACTAAGACCAGATGCTGTGGTTTAAAAACCACTGACAGTGTTTTGTTTTTATAGCTTAGGTACTTTTCAATACTATCAATCATTGAAATAAACATCAGTCCAGCTCACCCGTCCATTGTTGTTCTATAGCTCGTATATGAGCATCGCTGAACTCCCAGTGTTGTGCTAGAATCTTCCACTCCCCCCGGCACAGGTGCTTGGTGGCCAGGCTCCACAGGACCGAGCGGATGTGCTGTGTCTCCGGCTGGTGGTCCTGCTTAAAGCTCAGATTTCTCCCCACCCAGGAGTCCTGCCCACTGCCCAATTGATCCTGAGGACGACAGGAGAAGCTGTTTTCATGCCAAGAGTACAAACAGATCTATAAATGATGGACATGTTTGGAGTGATTTTGGCACAACAGGAATCTTATAGCATAAGAGTAACAGTGAAAAAAGAAGTAACAGAGGAACCCAGCAGCAGGACAGATGACAGCAAAAACAAAATTGTGGCACTGACACTGAAACACCACACTCGATTAGCAATCACCTGAACTGAGAATGCAAATTTGAAAACATATGTAACCAATCAGATCACACAGAAATCAGAGCTTGAACAGGAGTCAGGTTTGTTCTGTGTGCAAAACAATGAGACAACTTTTAAAAAGGGGGGTAGGTGTTCGAGTAAGAGGAGAACGAGGAAGTGGAGAAAGAGAACACAGAGATGTATTAAGTTCAATATTGAGAGTACAAATATTTTGTTTCCTCATTGCAAGTTAATATGTTTTGTATTTTGTATATTATGTTTTTTTTGTCTGGAGTTTAGACCAACAGGGCCCTAGTTTCAGGGACTGAGTTAATGCATTAGTGAAAAACTGTACTTAATAAAGTTATTCCCAGAGAGTCACTGCAGAGCCAGGTGCAAAGTGAGTGAACTCACCTTCTCCCATTTATAAAAACGATCAGCTTTGATGATCATGTCGACCAGGATGATGTGGTTTCCTCTTGCTGCCACCTCCAGACACGTTTTCCCCTGCTGTGTGTATCATACAGTCAGTATAACACAGCAAACAGGACACACAACTACACAATACAGCGGCCACATCATCAGATAAATAAACATATAAGTAAGAACTAGGAAACAGGCATCCAATCTTCCAAACATAACATAAACTGCAGGAACCTTGTCCTGAATATGTCAGGCTATTATCACGTTTACTAGATATCAGTATAAAATTAAACATGCTGAGTAAAAAAAACACTCTTAAAGAAAGTTCAAGTGACATTTGAGGGTTTTGTTGACACTGTGCTTCAGCCATGATGAGGTTGATTTTTAGGGGTTAATACTGCCCTTATACACTGCCCTGCAACTATGTGATGTGTATAAAACTATACCCCCTTTTTCTAATACATCTATTGAAACATGTACTTTCCTACCAGCTTCTTATAAAACATTAGTGTAAAATAATGTTTACTATCAGTTGGCGGGTGACTCAGACTGTCAGGGGGAGAAAAGTGAGAAACCTGAGACCACAAAGCTGTGATGCTTTGATGGTGTCAAAAACCCCATTTAAGAAACAGTTTCACAATGTGGCACTGATTTTAATTAACCTATTTATATGTGTAGTTATTAAAACACAGTAAAGGTCAAATAAATTAAAATAGAACTAATCGTTTTGCCAAAAGAATGAGAAAATAGATAAATAATGTAATAATCAAATGTGCAATAAGAAGTGGTGTGCGGTGTGGCACCTTGTCTGTCAGAGTGAGGTTAACACCAGAGATGAGGATCATCTCAGCCAGGTCCTGCCAGCCGTGTTCTGCTGCTATGTGCAGAGCGCTCTGTTGTCTCTGTGACACAAATGATAGAATGTGTTGGATTAACATTTCAACTGTCATTTTATAACTGTAGAGCCATCGGCGTGTCATTGCACTACAGTGCGTGGAGTTGCAGAGGCTTGTACTCACACTGTCAGTGATGTCCAGGTCACAGTCGGCTTCTATCAGCTGACGCACGACCTCTGTGTGATTGCCGAGCACAGCGAGGTGCAGCGCTGTGTTGAGTTGCTGTTTCAAACACAAAGAAACAATAAACATAGTTTGATATGATTTGTGGATGATCCTGACAATAAGAAAAAAAACATATGTACAAAGTTTTTGAAGGACATGCGATGAATAAATCTTACGTTACACATTTTCAAAACGATGTCCTCTTAACTCTGTAAACGTATTTGAAGACGCTGTTACCAATCGTGTTATCTGCTGTAATCTGCTGGAGGTTCCAGGTCATAAAAGTGCTTTAACTGCAGCTATCATTAAAATAATAATAATTCCTGAAGTTGTTCCTGTAAGTAACTTTTTTCCAAAGTCATTATACTGTATCATGTCTATAGGTCAAGTCAGCTTGGTAAAATGCACATTTTAGAGGGTTTATTAAATATGTGGTTTGCCTGACATCCCTCTATGTGTTCACTACTAAATGCGTTTTTTGTTGCTAATCAATCAGGAATTAATTCATTTGTAAAATGTGTTGTATTCATATGACTTAAACATATGATGAACAAGTGAACCAAATTCCAGGCCACAGTTGTTTTTTTTTTAATGAGAGGAGGTATTCTTTTGTTTTCTTCTGCCATAATCAATCAGTAAAGAGTCTGATATCCACCCTCTCATTTGGACTCATTCTCCAATCGTTCCTAAGAACATATTTGTTTAATGTACTTTATGTTTATTACATCTGCGTCTTTCATTGTGTTCCTTTGAAACCATTACACACATTGCTGAATAAAACCTCTTGTTTGCTGCTGACTTCCTGCAGAAGTACCTCCACGTCTAACCTGCTAAAGTCTTTTCTCTGATAGGAGACATCTACATCCCTCCGTTAGACATCTCCACAACCTGATCTTCTGCTACCGGCATGTGTTTCAGTGTGTCTGCACTTATTCCCTTTTATGGGCATTAGTGGGCGGTTACCTATACTAATTGAGAACAACATGCATACGCTTTCAACATAAGAACACAGCTGCAAACAATTCATTCATTTAAGAACACGCTGGTGAATCTGACAGAGAGTCTTCTTAAGAACGATTTAAGATAAATCCTATATTAATTCTGAAGATTTTGTTGAATGAGGCCCGTTGTCATTTTCCCACTTACATTGTTTACAGCATCTATATTGATCCCTGTCTCCAGCAGCAAGTGGGCTTCTCTGTCGAAGCCATGCTGGGCCACGTAATGGAGAGCAGTCATGTTCTTCTGCAGACAGAACAGAACAAGGATTCACATTGTTAAAAAAAAGATTCCCTGTGTTTATGCAAACAGTGTCTGACTTAAAATACGGAAAGCTTACGTTAGTCTGTGTGTTGATATCACAGTCGGACTCCAGCAGCAGTTTGATACATTCCCAGTGACCTCCATCAGATGCATGATGCAAAGCTGTGAGACCATCCTGAAAACACCAAAGAGACAGCTGTCAGGAGCTTCACACTGAAAGTAAATATGGCATCAGTTTATGGTAAAGAAGGAATCAGACAACTGCTCATAAGAATTTAACAAAGATAAAAGAACAACCAGCAGACAGATCAGAGGGTCTGTTATCAACCATGATGACATGGAAAATACTTTTCATTCACATTCAAAAAACAACTGTTCACTGCTGTTTAAAGTCACCATGCTACTACATTGAGCGGCGTAAAGTCAAAGGCACAACAAATCGAACAGATTGCCACAGGGGGAAAAAAGTCCCTAAAAAGTGCAAAGCTAGAACATTCCACTCACTATGTTTCTCTCATCCACGTCCACTCCCGTCTCGATGATCTTCTGCAGGACGTCTGTGTGCCCAAACTTGGCTGCTAGATGCACGGCCGTGTTCTCTTCCTGAAGTCCAGACATAACACATCAAAACCAGAAACCCACTCTGACACAACTTCCTCTGCATACAGTGTACAAACCAGAACAAGCACGAGGGGATGTTGGCACCTCGTTGTTATTTTATCTGAACCAGACACATTTACTTTGTTTTGCAGACATGTGTCTTATGATTAAATAAATTCATGATCAGTCACCACCTCTTAAACAATGTATCTCTGCAGGTTACTGTTCAGCTACAGTATATGTAACCTTGTATGGTGTTCAGGTCTGTGGGACCCGTTTTCAATGTTTACCAAAAGAGAAATACCGCAATTGTTTGTATGTGTGTGTGTGTGTGTGTGTGTGTGTGTGTGTGTGTGTGTGTGTGTGTGTGTGTGTGTGTGTATATGTGTGTGTGTGTGTGTGTATATGTGTGTGTATTGAGATGAGGAATAGTCTGAAAATTAGTCAGAAGAAGAGAATGAGTGATCATCTCCCAGTGCACAGAACCAGCCTGTCAGCAGCCAGCCACAGGACCAGCCTGTCAGCAGCCAGCCACAGGACCAGCCTGTCAGCAGCCAGCCACAGGACCAGCCTGTCAGCAGCCAGCCACAGGACCAGCCTGTCAGTCTACTTCTCGGTAGATTTAGTCAGTTAACATTTATTACTCTGTAAGTACATGGTCTCAATCACTTTGTCTTGTTTATATGTACATTTATTTGCTTTGATCATATTTTCTTTGGAAGCATGCTTCTTTTATTATCAGAATAAACATATTACTGAAAAAGAACAACACTTCTAGATCTGCTGGAATACAACACATGGTTTTAATTTATTGTATGTGGAAACGTCACTTCACACCTTTAGTGATCGTTGATCGAGATGAACATGTGATGCTGACCAACAGTGCGGAAATATTTACTTTGAGTCAGCTGTTGGAGGCAGCTGTGTTTGCAAACACAGGATTTAAAGTCGGGACACATCCTGCTTTATGCTGAGTGTTTGAGTGCAGACAGACAGGAATGATGAATGCATTTACACCCTCATTAGCTTTAGCCATAGTGAGGTCTGTTGTCATGACGACCTGACAAAGGAAGTGTAACATTTCAGTTGATTAATACGTGGAACCAACAGAAGTTTGTTTGCTTAATACACAACAGGCCCTTGTGTGTGCTGCCCTTCAGTCCAAGTACTGATTCATTATGTGTGTGTGTGCGCGTGTGTGAGTAAATCCTGTAGTAAAAAGTGTAGAAAAATTGACAAATAATCAACCACTTAAAATACACTTATAGTTCATATTGTGTACTTTGCTTCGTTCAAAATGACAATGCATGCATTTAGATACTTTGACTTTTATCTGTTCAAACAAACTCAGAAAACAACAGTATGAAAAATACTTAAAAGAGCCCTCAACGACACAGATATAATGTTTAGATCAAGACTTTTTTTATTTTATCAAGTCTTTTGAAATTTGTGTCAAATCTTTTAATTAGGTCCAAATGTTTATGTGTGGGAATAAACCGGAGCACCCGGAGAAAAAACCCACGCAGACACAGTGGGAACATGTCGAGTCCTGACACACAGAAACCAGCCGGCTTCTGTCAGTCAGGACTTTCTATGTTCCCACTGTGACTGCTTGGCCTGTTACAGCCTGTGTGTTGGAGGAGTCGGGTGGGGGGAGAGCGGCTGGAGAAGCTGGGATGGTCACATATGGTCCAGCATTTGCTTCTTCTGATGCTTGAATTGGCGGCGATGTTTTGGAGTGCAGGCTTTCTTGATCTTCCTCCATGTAGAGATCTTCTCCTCTGACTCGCACAATTGTTGAAACACCTCCGCTTCCTCCTGCAGCATCTGATCGGCCTCCTCCTGTGCTGTCGGATCGGAAGACAGCTCAGGACACATGTTGGTCTTGTCTTGGTTTTGTAAGCCCTCCTCATGCTGAGGCCTGACCTCCTCTACTTCTTTCTGGAGGCTCTCAGCCCTCAATTCCTCTGGTCTTTGGAGGTCCTCCACCCTCTTCTGCAGTGCCTGATCTGTGTTCTCCTGTGCTCTGAGTTCATCAGACAGCTCAAGGCAGCGGCTCTTTGAAATCTCCAGCTGCTCTGCTTTTAAAAGTTCATCACTGATGACCTCTTCCTTCTCCTGCATCAGGGACTCCTTCTCTGCACAGGATGGATCAAAGTGCTTCCTTTCTTCTTTCAGCATCTTGATCTCCTTTTCACACTCAAGTCTCTTATGGTGCTCCAACTCCAACCTTTCCTCCAACTCCTCAATGATGTTCTTGCTGAGCATATCTCTGTCGCACCCTGCTTTGTTCAGATCCTGCTCCTTTTTCAGAAGAATTTTCAACCCTTGTATTTCATTCTTCAGGTCTGCCACCACCTGCCAGTGGGGTGGGCGTCTCTGATGTGATGGGCGATGGGGTCCATACTGGTTGGGCCAGTGGTGCGGCCTCTGGTGGAAAGTTTCGGCTCCTTGCATGGAGTACCTGAAATCATCAGCCCCCGTATTGACTGCCCTGCTCTGGGATCTGTAGTGCTCCATTACTCTTCTCAGATCAAACAGTGTCTTGGATGTAGAACGCTTTGTGGTCTTGTTGAAGTGTCTATCGGACAAAGTTGTATCTCAATGAATCTGTGAACTGTTGAAGTCTCAGAATGAATCTGTGAACTGTTGAAGTCTCAGAATGAATCTGTGAACTGTTGAAGTCTCAGAATGAATCTGTGAACTGTGGTTGTCTCAGACTGGTAACTGTGTTTATATGCTGAGATTCTAATTAGCTTTGATGGACCAGAGTTCCAGAATTCTTTTGATGTCTTTATTTTATCAAAACATTCTCTTACCATGACATCATAGCATCATTCAAATCATTGCCTGTTAATTAAACTTAAACAAAATGGCCACCCAAGCATGTACATTTAGCATAACCCTACACTGATCTACAATCCTAAAAGGCTGAAATAAAATATTACCAATATTATGAAAATGAATTAAATAATGTTTTTTGTTGTTGTAGCCAAGTAGTGTAATAAAATGTGTTTTGTGATACATATTTTACATTAAATGCAGGGTTGGTAATTTTTCAAAAACTAGCATAGCACGGCCCTCACTTACATGTACAAGCGCCATTGGTCCAGAAGCGGACCTCAGCTCATGCTTTGAGTGTGGGCTCGTGCATTCATGGGGTCGAGAACGATCAGGGAGACGGAGAGGCGTGATTGGTTCATCAGATTGGTACCTCGTGGCAGACACTGGTCAAATTATTTACAGGCTTACAAACTGCTACAGATGAAGAATTTTCTTTGTTCCTTTGTCAGGACCTAAAGACAATTTCCACCTATCTTAAAAAGTGCATCTTGAGAAAATGACCAACCCTGACTTTAATGTAAAAAAATATAGACAAAGGTGTCAACGCTCTCTTCCATTCAACCATTTAAGCATTTGTGTGTGTGTGTGTGTGTGTGTGTGTGTGTGTGTGTGTGTGTGTGTGTGCATGTGTGCATGTGTGTTGAGATGAGGAATAGTCTGAAAATTAGTCAGAAGAAGAGAATGAGTGATCATCTCCCAGTGCACAGAACCAGCCTGTCAGCAGCCAGCCACAGGACCAGCCTGTCAGTCTACTTCTCGGTAGATTTAGTCAGTTAACATTTATTACTCTGTAAGTACATGGTCTCAATCACTTTGTCTTGTTTATATGTACATTTATTTGCTTTGATCATATTTTCTTTGGAAGCATGCTTCTTTTATTATCAGAATAAACATATTACTGAAAAAGAACAACACTCCTAGATCTGCTGGAATACAACACATGGTTTTAATTTATTGTATGTGGAAACGTCACTTCACACCTTTAGTGATCGTTGATCGAGATGAACATGTGATGCTGACCAACAGTGCGGAAATATTTACTTTGAGTCAGCTGTTGGAGGCAGCTGTGTTTGCAAACACAGGATTTAAAGTCGGGACACATCCTGCTTTATGCTGAGTGTTTGAGTACAGACAGATTCAAATCCCAGGAATGATGAATGCATTTACACCCTCATTAGCTTTAGCCATAGTGAGGTCTGTTGTCATGACGACCTGACAAAGGAAGTGTAACATTTCAGTTGATTAATACGTGGAACCAACAGAAGTTTGTTTGCTTAATACACAACAGGCCCTTGTGTGTGCTGCCCTTCAGTCCAAGTACTGATTCATTATGTGTGTGTGTGCGCGTGTGTGAGTAAATCCTGTAGTAAAAAGTGTAGAAAAATTGACAAATAATCAACCACTTAAAATACACTTATAGTTCATATTGTGTACTTTGCTTCGTTCAAAATGACAATGCATGCATTTAGATACTTTGACTTTTATCTGTTCAAACAAACTCAGAAAACAACAGTATGAAAAATACTTAAAAGAGCCCTCAACGACACAGATATAATGTTTAGATCAAGACTTTTTTTATTTTATCAAGTCTTTTGAAATTTGTGTCAAATCTTTTAATTAGGTCCAAATGTTTATGTGTGGGAATAAACCGGAGCACCCGGAGAAAAAACCCACGCAGACACAGTGGGAACATGTCGAGTCCTGACACACAGAAACCAGCCGGCTTCTGTCAGTCAGGACTTTCTATGTTCCCACTGTGACTGCTTGGCCTGTTACAGCCTGTGTGTTGGAGGAGGTCGGGTGGGGGAGCGGCTGGAGAAGCTGGGATGGTCACATATGGTCCAGCATTTGCTTCTTCTGATGCTTGAATTGGCGGCGATGTTTTGGAGTGCAGGCTTTCTTGATCTTCCTCCATGTAGAGATCTTCTCCTCTGACTCGCACAATTGTTGAAACACCTCCGCTTCCTCCTGCAGCATCTGATCGGCCTCCTCCTGTGCTGTCGGATCGGAAGACAGCTCAGGACACATGTTGGTCTTGTCTTGGTTTTGTAAGCCCTCCTCATGCTGAGGCCTGACCTCCTCTACTTCTTTCTGGAGGCTCTCAGCCCTCAATTCCTCTGGTCTTTGGAGGTCCTCCACCCTCTTCTGCAGTGCCTGATCTGTGTTCTCCTGTGCTCTGAGTTCATCAGACAGCTCAAGGCAGCGGCTCTTTGAAATCTCCAGCTGCTCTGCTTTTAAAAGTTCATCACTGATGACCTCTTCCTTCTCCTGCATCAGGGACTCCTTCTCTGCACAGGATGGATCAAAGTGCTTCCTTTCTTCTTTCAGCATCTTGATCTCCTTTTCACACTCAAGTCTCTTATGGTGCTCCAACTCCAACCTTTCCTCCAACTCCTCAATGATGTTCTTGCTGAGCATATCTCTGTCGCACCCTGCTTTGTTCAGATCCTGCTCCTTTTTCAGAAGAATTTTCAACCCTTGTATTTCATTCTTCAGGTCTGCCACCACCTGCCAGTGGGGTGGGCGTCTCTGATGTGATGGGCGATGGGGTCCATACTGGTTGGGCCAGTGGTGCGGCCTCTGGTGGAACGTTTCGGCTCCTTGCATGGAGTACCTGAAATCATCAGCCCCCGTATTGACTGCCCTGCTCTGGGATCTGTAGTGCTCCATTACTCTTCTCAGATCAAACAGTGTCTTGGATGTAGAACGCTTTGTGGTCTTGTTGAAGTGTCTATCGGACAAAGTTGTATCTCAATGAATCTGTGAACTGTTGAAGTCTCAGAATGAATCTGTGAACTGTGGTTGTCTCAGACTGGTAACTGTGTTTATATGCTGAGATTCTAATTAGCTTTGATGGACCAGAGTTCCAGAATTCTTTTGATGTCTTTATTTTATCAAAACATTCTCTTACCATGACATCATAGCATCATTCAAATCATTGCCTGTTAATTAAACTTAAACAAAATGGCCACCCAAGCATGTACATTTAGCATAACCCTACACTGATCTACAATCCTAAAAGGCTGAAATAAAATATTACCAATATTATGAAAATAAATTAAATAATGTTTTTTTAGTTGTAGCCAAGTAGTGTAATAAAATGTGTTTTGTGATACATATTTTACATTAAATGCAGGGTTGGTAATTTTTCAAAAACTAGCATAGCACGGCCCTGACTTACATGTACAAGCGCCATTGGTCCAGAAGCGGACCTCAGCTCATGCTTTGAGTGTGGGCTCGTGCATTCATGGGGTCGAGAACGATCAGGGAGACGGGGAGGCGTGATTGGTTCATCAGATTGGTACCTCGTGGCAGACACTGGTCAAATTATTTACAGGCTTACAAACTGATACAGATGAAGAATTTTCTTTGTTCCTTTGTCAGGACCTGAAGACAATTTCCACCTATCTTAAAAAGTGCATCTTGAGAAAATGACCAACCCTGACTTTAATGTAAAAAAATATAGACAAAGGTGTCAACGCTCTCTTCCATTCAACCATTTAAGCATTTAAGTTGTGTGTGCGTGTGTGTGTGTGTGTGTGTGTGTGTGTGTGTGTGTGTGTATACGTGTCTTTACCTTGTCCTTCAAAGCATGAGTGCAACCCATTCCAATCAGAAACTCCACCACTTCAGACTGTCCGTGTTCAGCAGCCAGGTGAAGAGCTGTCTTCCCTAACTGTTCAGAGAGACATCGGCAGGTTAACGTTGAGCTAAAACACTTTTCAATCAAAAGCTTAAATAACCTCCTTGTATTTATATGTTGCTGATCATTTTGATCTCTGAAGTCCGAAATTCGGAGTTGCCGGTCTGATACGTTATCAGGAATGCCCCCCTGAAGTCGAAATTCCCACTTGGAAACTCGGAGCAACTTCAGTAGCCTGTGTAAAAATCCAACATTGCTGCTACGCGCATTAAGATAAACGTTTCACCTGTAACTATTGTGTTAGTTAACAACGTAGTCCTCTTGTAGTGTAATTAAATCAATCACACCGATAGCATCATGCAAGTTCTATCTGTGGACGTGTTGCCATGTTATTTTCCAGTGCAGACTGTCACTTAGTGTGTTGTTATTGCCTGGGATGAGCTAACAAAACAAAGGTGCTCCATGTTGTTTGACCGACTTGATGCCAACTCACAAGTGGAAGGTGGTTAACCTCGGGTGTGGCGTGATTCCCCGGCTCTAAATTTGCGACATTAGACTCCTAGATGCAGCAAAAAGTCTAAAATGTATCATTTGTTGAACATCAGGCAGTAAATTTAACACAATGCTGAATGGTGTCACCTTGTCCACCCTGTCAAGACAGACATCCTCCAGGTCCTCCATGATGAACTCCAGTACGCTGATGTGACCTCGCTGAGCAGCACAGTGCAGCATGCTGAGACCGTCCTAACACACACACACACACACACACACACACACACACACACACACACACACACACACACATAGACTCTGAGTCAGTCAGTCCTGACAGTTTGTTTTTATGATGATATGAAGCAGATCTTACTTTGTTTTCACAGTTGAGCTTTGCTCCACAGGACACCAGGACCTGCAGGATCTTCAAATGACCGAACCAGGAGGCCAGGAGCAGAGCATTCATTCCAAACTGTAGACAAACATACAAAAGTTATACCACAGTGATGCTCTGAAGATACATGTGAAGTAAAGTGTCCTTGACCGCCTTGATCTTTCTTCATGCTTCTGTGTGCTGAAAATGTTTTCATATTTTGCATTCTGTTGACATTCTCTAAAATCTTTGCTGCATTGTTCATAGTAAAGAGAGACTGCACCTTAATGATAACTGATGTTCAGTGTTTTAGGAATGTTTAAAGAGAAATTGGACACTTTTGTGCCACAGTGCCTGAGTGGCGTCACCCATCTGTTACTGCAGGGGGGCTTTGGAGGAAACAAAACCGTGCACATACAGAGTCTTTCTCGTCCACTTCAGTGTCATGGTCCAGGAGGAGTCGTAGAGCCTGTTCGTTTCCAGCTCCTGCGGCCCAGTGCAGAGCTTTCCGATCAACCTGTGCAGAGACGGGAGAGATGTATGACCAAGATGGATGATAAAGGAAGGGCCTCAAAGACTGGTTGACACATGGGGCACAGCGGCCCCCCAACATGTTTTTATTATTTTTTATTAATGAGCAGAACGGTGTTAATTTACAATTAAGAAAGCTTTAGTTCATTATCTGTCTTATTGATCTCTCTGAATCAGTGCATCACTACACACTGACAAACACTTGAACACACCTGCTGTAGAAAAGGTCAAAACAATAGGCATACTTTATTCCTGGCCTTGACGTCCACACCCTTCCTGATCAGCTCCTGAAGTTTTTCGGTGTCGTTCCTCTTTGCAGCATCATGGAGCTCCTTCTCTGACACCAGCACTGACAGGGAGAAGTGGACACAGATGTTCACATTTTTTTTCTGCATGCCAGCAAAAAGTAGCAACTAAGGTGAATGCCTGCTGTATTATAAGTCTGAGACTTTGGGGGCTTTCACCTTTACATCATTGGCTGTAGTGGTCTTAATGGGATTTGTGTCCTGGTAGATGACTTTTGCTTTTGATAATAAACTCAAGAATTAAAACTCAGGCATGCTGCATCATGTGTTCAATTATAATACAATAGACACAAGAAACAGATTTCGCTTGATAGGCTATGACGACCTTTCAGTCAAATTCAGACAATGAATACTTTTCACATCAGGTCCCAAACACGAAGAAACCTTCATATAGATGAGGAGGCGCAGTTTACTTTAGAAAATGAGAAGCCTTATTGGACAGTTTTTAATCACAGCCTAGTTGCAGAAATAGAAATTGAATAAAATAAACATACGAGGCTGTGATCGTTTTTATGCATTCACAAATATTACCACATGTGCAAACGACACATTGTGAAAAGTAACACAGTATCCGGCCTGGACATTTCCAGCCCTCTGTGGTCAACACGGACATCCTGCTGCTGACAGATGTGAGCTCTCTGAACACACAGCTGCTGGGAATAACGATACTCACGGATATCATCCTCCGACACCAGGTCGTCCTCCATCTTTACGCCGCTTTAAAGAAACCTCTGACTCTCCACCTGTGTCATTGTAACACCGTCTGCTTTATATGTTTCAGCCGGGATAAGAAGACTGGACGCACAATACACAGAGGCTCATTGACTATCTGATATTTGGTTAAGTTTTCTTTAGTAAATGAAAAATAACTTCCGTTTCTGACCTTCAAAGTAAAGTTAATTTACTTTTGTAGTCAAGCTGGTTTTGAAAGCCGTGCTACTTCCGTTTTGAAAGCCATTGTACTTTCGTGATCAAATCGTTTATTATTAAGGTAATTAGTTTTAATTAGTTGCTTAATCACAGAATGTGCAACATACAAAGCATCTAAGGTAATTTGTTAAAGATGCTGTGGGAACAAAATAATCATCCTATCTTTAGCACACAAGGCTTTAAGTGTGTACAAGTCTATGTGGACTATCTTCTGTAAATCAGTGTTAATGTTTTCACTGGCTTCCAATTGCCATCATGATCCATCATCTGTTAAAATGTGCTATTTGCCTGTAATTTGCTATTTTAACCGTGTGAATTGGTTGTATTCAATGTTTATATATATATATATATATATATATATATATTTTTTTTTTTTTTTTTTTTGCATGCAGGAGAGAGACTATGATTCTAAAGATTTTTTGTTTATTTCAAAAATGTCAACTTTCTTCTTAACATCATTTCTTTTTTTAAATTAAATTGAAAAAATTATAAAAGCAAACATTTTTTTGGGATGCTACCACACGTGTCCAAACCAACCACCAGTTAGACAAGTAAAAACAGTTCTGTTTTTTTTTTTTGTAATTTCTTTAGGGGGGGGAGCTGGGTCTTTTTCATTGGTCTTTTTGCATTTATTGACAGCTGAAGAGTGACTCAAGCAAAGGGCTGAGGTCTGACTCCAAACCAATGGATGCTGCTAAGCTATCTGGCGCTCCAAACAGTTTTTAATGTTTACAATTTTATATAAAACATAGGTCTATAAAACCATCAAATTACCCCTTTGTTAATACTCTTTCCATTTTTTTTTAACAATTAACAAGCCTCAATTATCAAAGTGGGTGCACATTTTCAATCTGTTTCTTTTCAAAGAAGCAGAGAGGGATTTTCTGGCACAACTTCACCAACTAACAAGGTGCATGAAGAGTGAAAGGCTTGATGAGGTCAAAATGCTCCAATTAGTTAATAAAGTTGATCTTCATACTACAAGTGTTGCTGGAGCTTTTTGACCTATCAAGTTCTTTTCACACAGAGATGCAAACCCAGATAACTACCACCTTAGAAATAAAGTTAAAAGACTTATGAACAAAATTGAAATGACAAAACCACAAGAAACAAACATGAACACATCGTTTCCCTTTAATTATTTGAGCCATAGAAAATGTTATCAAAGAGTACAAAATGTTAGAAAATGTTCTTACATACTCTGAAAGGCAGATTGTGTGGAAATAGCTTTTACCAAAGCGTCAGATAAAACCAGGGGAAATCCTTCATGCAGAGACATGTCTGATGAGCAATTATTACAAGTGTGTTAGTGAGAGCATTAAGAGCTATTAAGGCCACAGCATCACTATTAAGAACATATTATTAATAACAAAACTGCCCACCCTTTCTTATTCTATTCACATGGTTAGACTATAAAGATCACTTTTAGAAAACTCCTGAGCTATGTTGGTACATGTCCCTCAACAACAAACAGCACAATGCTGCGATGAACATGTAAAGTATGTACAATAAAAAATCCCTCATATAAACTGCCAGCTAAAACATGGGAACTGAGAATAAGAGAAAAAGCTTTCTAAATCCACAAGACAATATTAAGTTGTGCAATTTGGTATTTACAAATTTGAGTCATTTTGCATGTTCTCAATGTATTTACTGACAGCATAGCATTTTCATATTCTTATTCATTCTCAAATTATCCTTCAGGCAATTATCCTTGAAATGTCAGATATAAACAAAACACAAAATGGGCAATAAAAATGAAGCTTTACGTTTAGCTGCAGAGAAAGTGAAACTAGAAATAATTGCACGTAGTTAATTATGAGCAAACAGTTACATAATCTGCACAACAATCAAAAATGAGACACGTCATGTCATTATTCCCCAAGTCCATCGACTGACCGCTCACTAAACCCTGTCTCCTTCATGCCATTTCTAGCTGGCAGCCATTTATCGTTCCTTCTAAAGTGACAATCAACACAATCAGCTGGCTATAAACAGACTCAATTCAAACAGATTTACATTTAAAATGATGTGGGGAAAAAGTCTGATCTCTGAGCATCCAGAGCAAGTATCCACATGGTGGGCAAACAGTCTATGTGTTTTTACTGAGGGGGGGTGGGGTGGGGGCTGTTTTTGCAGATGAAGCCATAAAACGGCATGGAAGCCTTTCTTTGTGTCTGTGCTGAAAAAGATTCAAAGTCTGAGGGCTTCAGTTCAGCAAACAGTGACATCTGGTGGCTTGAAGCAGCTCTTCACATGTGTGCCTGAATCACAACTCTACCTCACCGATATTAAAACGCTATCCTGCAAAGGCTTCGACTTTGTTCAGACGTGCTGCATCAGTACTAGCCTATGTTTTTTGTTCAAGAAGCTTAAATTATAACAGGCAGTGTAAGAAGCCTTCACAGGTCACATTAAACACAAATGTACCTTTTTTTTGCTGCTGTATATTCATGAGTAAGGGTTAATATTTATGGCATATCATAGTCACAGTGTGATGTTATCACAAATCATTTAAAGCAATATCATGGAGGAATTCAGTTTGGAGCGCTTTGGCACCCACTGAAGGTCTCTGAGTGGAACCCCGTTGTCTTAAAACACACAGTGCAACCCCCACCTGACTTCTACAGAACACCGCATGGTCGCTTTTGCCTTGCTCTTGGCCAGACGTGCAATCCTGCTGAAATGGAAGGGTGCTGCCCTGCCCACGCTTGACCAGTGGCGTCAGGATGTAATGTCCTGTCTCAAACTCGAGATGTTACGTTTCTCTGTCAGAAGCTTGAAGAGGAACTTCTATGAGACATGGGAACCTTTCTTAACTTACTTTCATAACACTAAATCGTTTATCATAAAACTTTATAATACCGCTTATAGCACGGTGATTTGCTAACCCACTGCAGCACCTTAAACTTTAAAAACTGTCAAAATGTTTGCGAACGCTGACTTCATCAATCATGGATTTTTTCTTTCATTTGACATCAGCTCCAGCACATTGTATTGAATCTGTGCTTTGAAGCTTGAGTACTCTCAGCTTATCTCTAGGCTACTGTACAGGCTTTGTTTGTAATGCTCAGATACTACTACAGACAGAAGGGTAGTAAGCTTGACATGCTAAAGATTGGAGCAAAAAGACACACCGTTCAATCAATCTGTTACACTTCACTCCGGTGTTTCTGGATCTGGAACAGACACAAGAAAAAGCCCTCTGTAGACATCAAATATTAAGCCTCATACAAACGCTACAGGATGCGGAGAGATCCAGATCTTGACAGGACTGATGATGACTTATTAATGGATAATCACTCAGTAGGAGAAAGGTTTAGCGAATGGTTATTTACATGACAATCTGCTCTTTCACAAGCTCTTCCTCCTGGTGCTTGAGTTCTTTGCTGGTGTCAGTTTCTTGACCTCTCTGAGGACATGGTCGGCCGTCTTCAGCTTCTCCATGGCCTTGGTGAGCAGGTCCTCCGACATGGACTCCCCGTCACCTCCCTTGATGGACACTCTGCTCAGGAGCTCCCTGGTCTTTTCTATCTCCAGCGCCACCTCGGCCTCCAGTTTCCCGACCTCCTCAGCCGGCGTGGCTTTGTCTTCCACCTCGGCACTGGTCTGCTGCCTCACCTCAGTACAGACTGAAGAGACGGACAGCAGATCTCCTATGGAGGCTGACCGCGCCTTCGCTGAGGGTTTGAGAGGAGGAGTGGGCTCTGAGCGTCGTAAGGGAAATGCCTTTGATCCAACCTGAGGCTTGGGTGCCACCTTTGGGTGCCTTAAAGTAACAGAGATCGGAGCGTCGTCCTCGTTGGCGTCCAACACATCCAGACCGGCGTTGCTTCCTCTCAGGGCAGCCGTGGAAGCCGCGAGTGTGTCCTCACTCACAGAGCTTTCGCTGTCATCATCTGAGTGCTGGCCGCTGTCCACAGACTTCTCCTCCGCCTTCTTTTTCTTCTCCCCGGGAAAGTGACAGAGCAGTGGACTCAGGCTGAGGCTATCAGCGACCGGGTCCTTCACAGAGACAACCACTGTGGGGACTTCACTCTTGGGCGGTGTCTCTTCTGCTGGAGAAGAGCCGGCTGAGGTATCTGGAGCATTTTGCAGCAGTGCACTACTGTCTTCACCCTCGTCGGGCTGAGCAGGTTTCTCAGGCTTTTTCTTGGGAACAAGAGGAGGACTCTTTGCGAGCGGCTCGCTGGGTTCTTGTGGCTCATTATCGGCTTCTCCTGATTTGTCTTCTGAAACTTGTCCTTCAGCACTGGGACTCTGAGGACCGTCATCCTCTTTAGAAACCGACTGCTCTGCCTCATCCGTTTCCAAAGCTGTTTCCGTCACCTCCTTCACTTTCTCCTCTTCCTCCTCCTCCTTATTCTCATCAGCTGAGCCTTGAACCTCTTGGTTCAACTCCTCAGCAGGATGGGAGGGTTTCTTCTCTTTGCATGGAGGGGTAGGAGGGTGGGAGTTTGGCCTGGACTGTGGGGCCTCAGATAGGTTGCTCACGGGTTTGTTTGGAGGAGTTGGAGGTGGTCCAGTCTTTTTCCTGGAATCTGGACTCATTTCA